GAACCCGTGTCCCCTGCATCGGCAGGCGGACTCTCAACCACTGCGCCACCAGGGAAGCCCCTCTCCACATTATTTTGAAGCAAATCCTAGATGTCAAACCATTCCTAAGAACATGAAGTTCTGAAGTCATACAGACAAGGATTCTAATCCTGTACTTCCTCACTTAGCTACATAACCTTGGATAAGCTACTTAACCTCTGAATTTAGGTGCTGAGCAGCCACTCAACGAACCCAAGATCACTTTCTCCTAGTTGGCTCTAATTTTCAACATCTGTGATGTTTCTCTCTAAATGTAACCAGCTCCATTCTATTGCTTTTACCCTAATCTGTACTCTTTATCTTACTTTTGGATAATCCCAACAGCAACCTGTTTTCTCACCTCTTACTCATCCCATACCTGGGTTTTCTACCATGGTTTGTTTCTTTCAGGCAGAATATTAATCCTGTAAGATGTTCAGTAAATCAGAAAGATCAAGGGTGAAGCAGATTTGGGAAAGATAGCAAAGGGTATCCCCCTCGCAATGTACACCACATTAAAACTCCAGGAAGTCTTTCAGTAATGGATTCTGTCTAATATTGTGTTACCCTAACTTACATGACTGTGACTCTTTTTTTTCACCTAACTATTAAGAACCTATAAAACTAGAGTTTCGGGGAACATGCTTGGGAAATACAGTGATAGGTTAATGCCAAATCAGTGCTCCTTGAGCAATGCCTTCATTGGGAAACTACCAACTCTACAAAATTTCAAGAGTTCCTCCTATAGGTTCAAATTAACTTAGGTTGCTTCTCACATCTTTGTATATGCCGTTAAGCTGTCTCCCAAACTAGGAGGGTGTTTGCCTTGTATGTCTGGATTTCTCTTGTGTGTGCAGGTGTGTAATATAGGCCGCTCAGTGAATGCCTGTTGAGTGAGCACCCAGGCTGGACCAAACATGGACTAATCTCCACCAGCAGTGAAACTGCTCATGCTGCTGCTACAAAGTCTTTGAGATACTTTACGTTTCTTAGTAGTGAACACTAGAAGCTGGAGAAGATGTCTATCTTCTTCAGATATCTAAAAGGTCAAGAGTTCCTAAAAAGTGCCTCTGGACACATCCATACTAATCTTCCAGGTCAACCATGGAGATGTTTCCTATGTTTCCATCATTCTTCACTCCTCTCTTGAGCCTCAGTTGTCTCTTTTATAAAATGAAGGTACGAATACCTACTTGGCAGGCATATTGTGAGGACTTAATGAAACACTGGACAGAATTACCTCGTCCTGGGACTGATACATGCTAGATATTCAAGAGATGTTATTTTTCTCTGCCATGGAGAATAAAGCAGAGAAAAAGGAAAAGGAAGGCATGTAACATCTTATATAGGGTAGCCAGGGAAGACCTCTCCAACAAGGTGGCATTGAGAAGGCAGTGAGAGTGCCACACAGGTATCTGGGGACGGGGTGTCCCAGGTTAAGAGGAAAGCAAGTACAAAGACCCTGAGGCACGAGCGTGTGACTTGTCTGAGGAACAGCGAGGACACCTATGTGACTAGGGCATACTGGGCACAAGGAAAGCAGTAGGAGCTGGATCAGAGCGTGAACAAAGAAGTGACATGATCTTATTGATGTTTTAAAAAGATCATTCCAGTGGCTGTGTTGAAAACAGACTGCAGAGTAGGAGGAGGGAGGAATAAGAGAAACCAGTCAGAAGGCATTTTGTTGAATCGAACTAGGGTGTAGTGGTAAGAAAGAGTTGCATTTGCGTTTATTTTGAGGGTAAGGAAGACGTGGATTGCTGACGGATTAGTTATGGAGGTGTGAGAAGAAGAGAGGAGCCAAGAATAACCCCAAGAATTTTGACATGAGCACCCCCAAAGTCAAAGCTGCCATTTACCGAGATGGGAAGAACTGAAGAAAGACCAGGTTTGGGGGAGACGTTGTGTTGGGCACACCTATTCCACAGTCCTTGAAGTGGAGACCCACCTTAGCCTCAAAGAGCTGTGACTGCCCCGGGCAGCCTGTGATTCATGACCACAGGCTGAGGGCATGGACCACTGGCTCTGTGGTCTTCTTGCCAGGTCATATATTGTATTTACCATACACTGTACCGTGCACATGTATCATACGCTAACACTAAAGCTGGGAGAGCTGATGAGAAAACAGGGCTTAGCAAGCCTAAAGCTGGACAGGACTCCTTCCTTGTTCTGCACTGAAAGACAGCTGACCCAATCGCCAACTCCCAAAAGCACACTCCAGAGTCAAGACCACCCTGTGATCACAGAAAAACAGTACGTACTAGGATTCCCCTGGCCCAAGCCATGGCTACCCAGTTTCTCTTCCAACTCTTCTAACTGAACATCTTCCACAAATTCTGAACTTTGTTAGCTGTCCTCTGCCTCACACACTACAACTCCCACATTATTATTCCCTTCTGAGACTAGAAGAGCAGGATTTTATTCCAACATTTCATTGGAAAAGCATAAAATGAGTACTCCTTTTGAGAGACAAAGGTTCTCACATTCCCAATATTAGCCATTAAATGTACCCAAAGAGTATGAGCTTTTGATATGTCAATGTCTAGAACCTTTATCTACATATAGAAATGTAACCATAGGGAATATATGAAAAAAATTCTGCTATACGGAATCACCTGTTTATAGTAGTTCAAAAATTCAGGACAGTCCCTTGGTTCAATAAAGCAAAGACTGGTTAAAGAAATCTTGGCACAGAAAAGAATACTAAGTGATCATCAAAAATGATTCCAAATAAGAATACATTAAAAGATTCTACGTGAAAAAAGCAAATTATAAATAACATGTATAATATGTTTTTTTGTTTTTTTGTTAAAAAAACAGTTTTTTTTGTTAAAAAAAAAGTGTGTGTTTATACCATAAGTTAAATATGATTGTATATAATTAGCAAAAATAACAGTTGTGTTACCAGTTGGTAGAGGGATTGTGGATACGTTTTTCTTCTTTTTACTTGTCTACAAGGAACATATATTCTTTTTTCACTAAGAATGAGTAAAAAAAATTTTTATATTCAACATAAAATCTCTCATATTTGTAGTTTATGCTTAGAATTTAGTTTTTACTATCTGATATTAAAAAAAAAACAAAAAAACAAAAAACAACTACCTACACCTCTATACATACTTCATCTAGGCCGAAAGACTTCCTTCTGAGAAGCCACTTGTGGACTCTCCACCAAAAGGCTCTCCCCTGGGGGATGTGATGCTAACAACTCCACAGAGGGGTCAGTCACTGAGTTCCCCTGCTCAGCACAGGAGACCCTGCTCCCAGGGTCTGTGGGCACGACTTCCCCAGCCTAGCAACCGCTACACAGGAGTGTGAAGCAGAACGGACTGCTCTACTCTCCACACCTGGCCACAGACCCAACTGTTAAGCAGAGACTACGAGTTCCACAGTCCCCACCAGCGCAACAGGCAATGGGCTTTGTTTTCTATAAACAGACAGACGAGGAAAAAGTTCAGGTTAAAACACAGTCCTCGGAGGAAGGAAAATAGCAACCAGGCAGCGGGGAATGCTTCATACTCCTAAAAGCTTTTTCTGTAAGTTAACACATGGTGTCTGCTTCTCTCTAGTCACCTATTTATCACTCTCCTCCTTAGAGAAGGGAAAAAGCCCTGGCTGTTTTCCTAGTGCAGTTTTGTGGCTGGGGGGAAGGATGAAAGGGGGGAGGAAGGAGGGTGCTTTAAGCATGATGCAAACCATTTGGAGCTGAGTGAGAGCACTGCCAACACAAGCTGCACTATTTAAACAAGTGAGGAAATGATCGTATATACAACATGCCAGTGAGCGCACACACACACCAAAGGAAGTCGAGAGGGCTTTTTTTTCAGGACGCAGAGCTGGATGTCAGCGGCTAAAAGGTCGATATTTTCCCTTAACACCCTTCTCAATGACTTAATCATGTTCCGTTTGCACAGAAAACTTCCCAAGAATAAAAAGGTCTGGAGAATTAAGAGGAGGGGTGAATGGGGAGGGATGTTTGGCCTGGGGCTGACCTTATCCGAGGTTTTCTCCACGTAGCAGGGGTCCTGAGGGGCAGCCAGCAAGGGTACAAAGCCCGAGAGAAGCCGATCCTCTTCCAGGATAAGGAGGGTGAGGTCATCGTCCGGGTCCTTGTACAGTGGCACCTCAGACTGATTCACTGCAGTCAGTATGTTACAGAAATCAGCCAGCATCGACCAGACATCCACAGCAACCCTGTGAGAAAGAAGGTAAGAAAAGAAGAGCAGCTCTAAAGAGGGACCAGTTAAAGTATTCTAAGCACTTGTGGGCAAGGAGGTACTCGTGGCACTTGCTGTCTACGGCTGGCATCTGCCAGGAAATCTAACCCAAAACGCTAGGATACAAAATTGCGCCCGTGGCAGTAATCTGGTGGGTGTGTGTCCATCTATGCAAAGTTGAAATTGATTAGGGGGAGTTTTTAATCCTAACCAGAAAGGAAAAAGAACTTAAGAGAATCAGTTGCCTAATGCAGGTCCTGTCACCTTTCCAGACAGTGTGCCTGAGACACTTATTCAAACACTCAAGACAACCAGTGCCTGAGGCAGCTCCCAGAATTCCCCTACTCCTGTCCAGCCAAGTATATGCCACACAGACAGCAACACAGTGCCAATCTCCCCTCTCCCCACACAGCCAGAGGGGCCAGTTACACCAGGCAAAGAGTCATGTGGTTATTACCTCCCACCCCAGTCCCCTACAATGCTTTAGAAATCTCTTCCTACATATAAGTAGGAAAACAATCAAACAAACCCACCAAAAACCACATTCCTGGCCTGCCAAGATCTTCCCAAGAGGGTAAAGCTTCCCATGCATTTCAGTCGACAAACCAGTATCAGTGCTGTCTTGGCCGACCCTCTCCTCTCCCTCACCTGTGGAAGGTTAGATATAGGGTGACCAACTGTTCTGGTTTGCCTGGGATTTGTCCCAATTTTAGCACCCAAAGTCCCATGTCACCAGAAACCCCTCAGTCCTGGGCAAACTGGGATGGCTGCTCATTCCTAATTGCACATCACCAAGTCCTGGTTGAACCTAACAAATCTTGAAAATCCAAAGTCTAGCTCTCCCCATTTCAAACTCCAGGGCAGAATTAGAAAAAGAAGGTTCATTTCTCTGGTCACCATCATTTGTCAAAAATCTACTGTGGTTCATATCCCTGCTTTGATGGGTGCTAATGATCCTTAAGAGCTTTCATTTTTGTCTGCACAGGACACAGCTCAAATAGCCAAACTGCAGTCAGATCCAGGGCTTGCCAAATCTATAGGCCCTGGGCTGTACAAGACTTGGCTCCCTTTTCCAGAAGACTACCTTAACCAGGGACTCTGGAACAGGGAGTGCCCTATGGATGCTAAGCTGTACTCTAAAAGGAGTGAGCTGCATAGAAGAACAAAGAAAAGCTTTACAATTAGGCTCAAGAGGTGGAGGGGCAAGAGGCAAGAAGCAAAGAGAGCTATAAGAGCGAGCTACATCCTGGAATCTTCCCAGAGGAGTTACTGCGCATGAGCCAAATCTGCTAGGGAGGGGCCTCAAACCCAAGCAATGTGTTTCTCCTGCAGACTGGGAGCCTTTGGGAGATGGCAGAGAAGAGGGCATTCAAGGGACATGACACTGAAGGTGATGCTGGAGGAGAAAGTGCGATAGAGGTGTGGGGACTCCTTGACTGGCTCCAGGTGGAAGGAGGCTGCACTGGTTTATTTACTGTAATCACTGCACTAGGAAAAGGCAATGAAATGAAACATCTTGTTTTCAAGAGTGTCCTGGGAACCAGGCGGAACACAGCTCCATTAATCATACAACGGCACATAATCAACACACATGTACTGCACAAGTAACTCGCCTCACAGGCTTTGCCCAGGAAAAAGAACATGTTTGGGAAGAATCACCAGAGGGACAAGAGTTTTCTAAAGCCTCTCTCTGCACAGACACCGACAACCAGGCTCATTCACAAAGCTCCATCTTTTGGCTCGGCTGAGTTTGGCTGTCAGAAATGTTTAAATATGGAAAAAAATAAACAGTTGCAACACGTTTTAGTGCAGAGATCTGCCTGAGCCCCTTTGTGATGTAATGGGAAACGCAGCATTCAGGCTACCAGCTGTAGAATAAACAGAACTTCGAGGGTTAAAAGGAACTGAACTTTCCACGACCCCATCTGCAGAGAAGAAAATAATAAGAGGAATGATGCACTGCCCCACAGCTCTGATAGTTTATCCTCCGGTCCCGGCTGCAGAGACAAGCACCGGATGTGATAGGGCTGCTCAGGGCCGCCTCCGAGGTTAGCGCTGCCCATGGGAGACGCACAGGGAGGCTCTTCCAGCTCCCCGCTTCCTCCCCCAGTGCCCTGCTGGCCACTTGAGCCCACTGCCTGAGTCTGATCCCACAGCGCTGGTGAGCTCTGGCCAACAGGCACTGCTCGGCTGCAGAGCAGCAATTTGGAAAATAAACAGGAAAGACGACAGTGAGAAGGAAGAAGGTGAAAAGTCTCCCAGCTGAATTCTTGGCTTGGGGGCCTTGGTTGGTGCTGTGCAGGTCAAGGCTGCTTCAGGACGTGGATGGGGGTGGGGGGTGAGGGCAGCAGCATCTCCAGCCAGGGAAAGGCAGCAGAAAATTACCCACGGCTGCCACAATGGGAGGCCCCACATCCCTCTCTCATCCTCCCACCCCTACCATCTTGGATCCAAGATGAAGGAATATGTGGTACCATGTGGTTCTCATTACCATGCTCCCTGTCCCCTAAGGCTCAGATAAACCAAAACTGACTCCTCCCAGCGGCTGCTGGCCACTACTAGGGACCCCTGCCCACATCTGCCTTTTGCCCATTACCACCCACCTTGTGCCAAAACCTTAAGACTCACTGCACAAATGAAGTGGATGAGTGTTCCTACCCTAGTATTGATTTGTAAGATAGCAGCTGATGCCAAAAGACACAGGAAGTATCCTGAGTTCCCAACTCAGAAATGCAAAGTGGCCCAAGGGCCAAGCTAGACTGAGCAGAACCAAGGGAATACACAAAATGCTCCGATGAAGGGTCATTTCTGCCCTGATCCCGTCAGACTGGTGTGTGATTCTGAGTGGCCACTTTCTTCTGGTATTGCAGTGGGACGGCCCCCGATCACTTCACATATCATCAGTTCTCTCCTCTCTCACTGAGCACCACGAACATGAACACAACTGACTGGGCACCCATGGACCATACGGTGACCCCCACAGAGGGTGGGGCAGAAGGGAGTGTCAGGAAACTAATACTAAAAGGAAGAGGTACTCTGAAAAACTAGGTGAGATGTCTGAACTCAGAAGTTAAGATATTTGCAGAAGTATGAGGTGATTCCTGGAACCTGGGCAACATCACCTCAGCTTACCCCGATCAGGCCCCTGGGCTGAGAGGTCAGTTCCATGGGTGAACACAGGGTTTCCTGTCTGAGAAGGGGAAAAGTTCGCCTTTTCCTGCTCTAGTCCTCACCCCAGCTGGGAGTGCCTTCCAACCTTCACCCCAATCTAGTCCTTGGATTCTAAGGATTCAAGGCTGGCCTGGGCCAAGGAGCCCAAAGTCAAATTCTGGTGGCCGAGAGGAACTTTAAACAGCTCCCAATCTTCTAGAAATGCCTGGGAAATGACTCCCCAAAAGAGTTTTCAGACATTTTCAAGCCACCTTTGGTTCTAAATGGACCCTCTAGAGTGCTATAGGCTTGGGCAAGTCCCTCTGGCTTGTTGTGGTCCCAACTCATACTTTGGGAAAGCTCCCAGAGTCCAAAAAAATCCCACCAAACAGACACAAGGCAGCCAGAGAACATGAAACTGCATTCGTGGTTCTCAGAATGGTGGCAAGGGAGCCTCTCAAGCAGCTGTGATATGACTAGTGAGCAGGGATCAGCAGTTGCAGGGTGACCTGGGGGCCCAACCCCACAGAACACACCACACACCAGGAAAGCAGACCTCTGGCTGGAGTCTGAACAGCAGATCCTAGCTTGGGACAGACCAGCAGTGGCTACTTATAGGTATGCACTCAGGACCAAGGCTCACCCACTTCCCCACAGACATGCATTCACTTACTCCACCAGGAAAGGAAAAAAATAAGAGTTAATTTACTTTTTATTGCCTCAGAATTCCAAGGTTTAATGTAGCTGTCAGTTTGAGTACAGTGCAGCTGCCGGCCGATACAATGAAGCCCAGGCCAGCCCAGGTGACTAGGGAAACACATTTCACAGAAATGAACCAATACACACACTGTTGGCTGGTTGTTTGAGGGGATATTGACTTGGGGAATCAGATTAAACCTTCAGGCTGGGGTTAGTTCTGCAAACAGCATTAGAAAAGCAGCTTCAGTCCAAGGAACTGAGAAGTCCTGATCTCAGGTGGACCAGTGGGTTTCTGTGTTTCTACCATTTTGGAGTTTTCTCATACGACCTGTTACTCAACTACGTCATGCTCGGAAAGATTAAGGTGTGAGATATGCAAGGCAAGTTATACCACAACAACCTATCTCTTTCCTAGAACTCAGAAAGAAAGGTAGATGGGCCAGCTTTATAGGGAAGAGGTCAAGAATGAACTTTTCTGCAAACTCCATCCGAGGACGGGACTGAAGGAGGAAGACAGTTTGGAGAATGGAGTACTAAGGCCCGACCAGGGCTCAGGCCATCCTTCTGGCAAGTCTAAGGAGGACTGAGCCCTCACACACCCCTTCGTATTTTTACTGGGGGAACAGGCTGACTGGTGATTAATATCAAGTACAATGACCCCATGTTACAAGCCTGCAGGGGCCTGTGGAGGTGGCCATTTCCTGTGTAATACCAGCTTGTTTAAACACTAACATTCAAACTCCACAGCTGCAGAACAAACCCGGAAAGAGGTGAGTGAGAAGAAGCCCTGCATTGTGTTTTGGAGCTACGGAAGATCAGAGAGGTGGTACAGATGGGAAACGAGTTGGGTCTTTTGGTTTCTGGGGTGAGACGCTCTGGAAATACAGCTAAGATGGCACAGAAACGAGGCACAAAGAAACTGAAAAAGAGAAAGTCCATGGACTGTAATCACAAAAGGGGAAAGGCAAAAGGCCACAGCAAGAGAAATATTCTTAAGACATGTAATATCCTCATCATGTTATAGCCCACAACTCTTCACGCGGGGTTCAATGGCCAGCACAAGACCACTGTAGCCCTGGAGGACCTCCCACCCCACTGGACAAAACTGCAGGAAGTGAGCAGATAATA